AAATCATCATCATTATTATTTTTTAATTTGTGAGGAGTTTCGCGATGATGTGAGACGTTTAGGGTAGGAGGAGGGGGGGAAGGGGAGACTGATTTACAAATAATAATATTTAAAATTTCCACGGAGTTAATGATATATATATATATATATATATACGTATATTTAATTTCACGTAATTCAATCTAAATATGTCGAATGACAGGACGTTATGTTGAAAATCCAGGGAAAGAATTTATTCCAGTTAAGGTAGAAACAAAAACCTCCTCTTAATCCAAGGTCGGGAAGGCTGGGGAGGCGGGGGATCCGGGAGCAGGAGGTCCAGGCGGTCGTTTTCGGGCAGATTTTCGAATTTGAAACGCGTTACTAAAATATTATTATTATTATTATTATCATATGTATGATCAGTTTGAATAATCGTACTCGGTTGTGGTTGTTGTTGTCGTGCAAAATAAAATTTTAATTCCACGTCGTAGGATTATTTAAAAAAAAACCGTTCGTTTGTTCGTTTGTACGTCTGCCTCGTAATAATACCTTAAAAAAAATGACTTTTGAACGAACGAAATGAAAATAATAATAATAATAATAATAATAATAGTATGATTTTACGTTAGGGAGATTTCATTGTAAAATTTTTTTCTTTTCAAACAAAAGAGGGTAGAAAAAATTTAATAAAACACGTGATGGCGATTTGAGAGCATGTAATCCGTGAAATGATATCTATCCAATTGTGTTAAATCAATTAAAATCATCATCATCACCATCATCATCATCATCATCATCATCGTTTTTTTTTTTTTTTCGCATTCATCATCACTATTATCATCATTTCGAACAACGCGCATAATTATTCGTATAACAAACAAAAGGAATTTTTTTTTTTTTTTGTGTGAGGCACTCACATTCACTGGTTATTTCAGGTACAGGTTTTTTTTTTTTTTTATTAAAATTATCATATCGTCGAATGGATCCTGCTGTTCGATGTTATCTCAAAAAAAAAAAAAAAAACTTTTTCGGGAAGGCGGTGAGAGAGACGGGGAAAGAGGTAGGGAAAGATCGTCTAAAGACACGTGAAACGATCACATTGAAATTTATTATTATTATTATTATTAGGATTTGTGACTTTTAAACAATATTCGCGAATTATTATTATTATTATTATTATTATGATCGTCACGAATGAATTATTATTATTATTATATTTTATTTATTCATTCATGCAATAAATTATTTTTACATAAAGTTAAGCGCCACTTTAAATATTTTAATTCCACGTTTTAAACGAACCGTGAAAATTTTTAATTATAAAAACGCGACAAAAAAAAAAAAAAAATGAAATGAAATCGATTCGAATCGAAAAAACGTTTTTCCCCCTCCCTCTACCCCTCTCCCCCTACCACCCGACATTATTTCGATCGAAAAGTTAATTAATTAATTAATTAATAACGTAAATAATTTTTTTTTAATTTTAATGATATCGAACGTACGCAGCATCCACTTATGCGGTTTTTTCGTTTGTTTGGTTGTTTTCCACCATTTTTTTTTAACGGTTTGCAAAATTAATAATATTTTATGAGTTTTATTTATTTATTTAAAAAAAAAAGGATTTATTCGTTGACGATTTTCTTTCCTATATACCATTTTAAGACAAATTATAAAAAAAAAAAAAATTATTTATTTGTATTTTGTGCCAAAAAAATAAATGAAACGTGTCCTATAAACTGAATTATATCCAAATATTTTTAGTTTATAAATAAAAATCTTTTGTTTAATTGTTTTTATTTTATTGTCGAAAGGTGAGAATGTGGGGGATGGGGGGGAACGGGGGAAACCCCCGAAATTTCCGGAACATGTAATTCGTTACAATGTATTTTTATATTATTTTCTTTGTTTAAATACAAATTACGCACTCTCTCTCTCTCTCTCTCTCTCTCTCTTTTTAAATTTTTTTTCTCCGTCGTCGGATTCGATCCCCCCCCCCCCCAAAACGGTTGTACAAACGAATTTTTGATATAATCAAAAAACAACCGTAAGGAGGGGGCCATATTTGTATATGACGTCACAATCAATCGTTTTTAAAAATTATCATCGTTGACAAATTTTAAATATTTAAAAAAAAAAAAAAAAACACGGTAGGAGTTGTTAATCCTGTACCTTATCATCATCATCATCGTCATCATCATCATCATCATTAAGGTTTTATGAGTATAAAATTTGTTTGTGCGAGACGAAAAACATTTGCATAACATGATGGCGTTAAAAAAAAAAAAAAAAAAATTTTTTTTTTTTTTGTTCCCAGTCACAACTTGACGTTATTTAATATCATTATCATTATCAATAATGTATCCGAACCTGAAAAAAAAAAAAAAATCACACGGTGTTAAAATTAATTATTATTATCATCATCATTATCGTTTTCTCAAATAACAACCAAATGTTTTTTATTATTATTATTATTATTTTTTTTGTAACAAAGAGATGCGAAGGAAAAAGGAAGAGCAGACGAAATATTAATCCCATGCGAATGAAAAATCGTAATTTAAAACCGTTATTTTTAACGTACCTGAAATTATTATTATTATTATTGACGAATACAATGATTTTTTTTATAAATCGTGATGTCATTAAAAAATTTACACGAATGTGTTGGAAAATGAGGGGGGGGGGGAAATTTTGAGGGAAAGAAAATTTTGTTTTTTCTAATGGAAAAAAATGAAAAGAAAATGTGGAAAAAGAAAAAGAAAAAAAAAATAAAATAAAACGACGGTGAAGGACAAGATCGGAGCCATGAAAAACGATTGGTTCGATAAGAATCCCTTATTTAGAGGGTTGGTAACCATGACAACGTTAACTACCTTAATCAAGAGTGTTCCATTTTGAATTAGGTGTCTTCCTTCCCTCCTCTCTCCTCCCCTTAAATCCGCGTCCTTTTCGATTTCGTTTCGTTTTTTTTCAAACGTTGTTTTTTTACTCTATGACGCATTACCTCGCTCGTCGTCGCATACGTCGTTTTGTATAATATTACAAAAAAAACGGTCATAAAAATAAAAAATAATTTATTTACTCTATGAAAAATATTTTCGAAAGAGAAAATAACGATGATAAAAACACCGTAGACGATAATAATAATGGCGACGGTTATTTTTTTAAAAAAAATGGAGAACGTGTAAACGTTACGAAATAAATTGAGGAAAAAAAAAAATAAAAAATTTTCCAACGACGTAAGAAAGAAAGAAAATTTTTTTTTTTTTTAAATAAAGACATTTAAAACGAAATTAAAACGTACGCTTTTCTAATTTCCAAAATGAAATTCTAACGGCGAAAAAAAAAAAAAAGAAAAAAAAAAAAGTTAAGAAAAAGAAATATGGAGAAAAAGAATTAGTCGGAAAATTTTTTTTTCATTTAAAAACTTTCTATGAATACCAATTGCAAGATGAGAGAGAAAGAGAGAGAGAGAGAGAGAGGGAAAACGAGAAAATTGTTTTGGTGAAAAATAAAAAAATATATTTAAAAGAGCAAACTAAACGAATGGAAAAAAAAAAAAAAATTTTTTTTTCATTTTATTTTATTTTAACTTCGATATGAATGAAAAACTTTTTTTCCATTTTTTTTTATCTGGAAACTGGAGAATGATGATAATGATAATAATAATAACATCTAATAAAAGAAAACGTTTTGATTTAATAAAATAAAATAATTGTAAAATCATCATCATCATCATCATCATTTACATTATTTTTTTATTATCATTATTTTGAGTACCTATTAAAATTTTTTATTTTTTTGTAAAACCTTTTTGGAGAGAGAGAAGGAGAGAAAGAGAGAGAGAGAGAGAGAGAGAGAGAGAGAGAGAGAGAGAGAGAGAGAGAGAGAGAGAGAGAGAGAGAGAGAGAGAGAGAGAGAAAGAGAGAGAGAGTGAGAATGTATGGAGATAAATTGATTTAACTCAAAGCCTATAAAATAGGGAAAATTAATTAAACAAATACCACGACATTGTCCTGTATTCTGGTCGTTTTATAATGTAATATTGTATAGTGGAGTCTTTTGTTCAATTTTAGCCAATGGAAATCAATGGAATATTTTAAACAATGGAATTGTCAACAACAACAACAACAACTTCAAGATCATACTAACCAATTTAATATTTTCATCATAATTATTATTAAAATTAAAAAAAAAAAATGCAAATAATTAATTAATTTTATAACGTAATTGTTATCACTATCATATGTGATAACTACAAAACGATTATTATTACATTAATAATAATAATAATAATAAATCTTTTAATATTAGTTGGTTGATATTATTGATAATGATGATGATATTACATCCTTTTATTATTTATTGTGGGAATATTTTTATGGAGTTTGTGTGTAAATAAATAGTGTAAATTATGTGAAATCATTTGAAATATATAAATAAAATTTATTATTTCACTTTCACCAAATGAATAAAAGAAAAAAAAAAACTTGATGCAGAATTTTTTTTTTGTTGTTACAGTTTGCTTGTCGTTCTGAATCAAATGATAGAAATTTTTTTTTCTTTCGACCGTGTTAAGTGAGTTAATAAATAAAAAATAAAAAGGTTGTAATCGTGAAATATTTTTTAATTTAATTAAGATAAGTTTATTATTTTTTTAACGTTTTTCTCTTTATTTTTTTCACATAAGTTTAATCAAATTCATTCCTTTTGAAAATTCGCGGGAAAATTAATGATAAAATAATCGTTGAATAAATTATTTAATTATTTAAAAAAAAAATTATTTTAGTGTTTGAAAACGTTGTATTATTATTATTATTTATTTTTAAAATATTATTTATAAAACGGAATTAATATTTAAAAAATTTTTTTTTTAATCCTTTAATTTTAAATAATAATTGTTTTCAATCATAAATTTGACTACGGTGGTGATTTTAGTTCCGATTTTCGACACCGAATGTAAACGCTTATGTACATAAAGAATAATGGCCGATCGTGTGTGTAAATAATAATGAATAAAAATGGCATTTTTATGTCCCGTACGAATCGGAAGATCGAAGAAAAAAAAGAGTATGTATTTATAAAAAAAAGTCCGTTTAAAAAAATTACACCGATTGTTTTCTCTCACGACCATTGCATTCATAATTAATTTTAATTTTTTTTTTAAAACCTTGTCGTAAACTTAATATAGTTAATATGTATTCCGTTATATGTTACCCTTAGGGTTCCTCAAGTAAATTTTTTTTTTTTTCAGTTACATTACATTAAATAAAACGTGTTAGTCATATTATTTTTTATTAATTTTAATTACCATTTGTATTATAACATAATTAAAAACAATAGTTATTACTGGCTCGTATTAAAACGAAAATCATAAGTTGGCCCACTTTTAATTAATATTTCATTAATTAAAATTATTAAAATTTAAATGTTTCGTATTAATTAATTTAATTTTAGCGACAGCAGATTTAAACAAAGATGTCGTCAGGGGACCTGGAATGGGAAGAATCACTGGTAGTGCTTCAATAGAAACATTAGTCAGAGTTGGCATTGAAAAAGAAAATGGTTTTTCTCCAGACAGTAAAATGGTATGAATTTATTTAATTATTTTAAATGGAAAAAAAAAAAAAAAAAACCTCTTGTTTAAAAGTATCGTCTGTTTGTTTGTATTTATCACATAATAATAATAATAATGATAACCCTTTTTTTTTCGATATTTAATGTGTGTTTAGTCTTGGGTGTGTGAATATGATAAATTTAATTTTCAGGTCATTTTACACGATTTTACACCATGTGTCGATGATGAATTAGAAGTTAAAAGAGGTCAAATTGTTAATATATTATATAGAGAAAATGACTGGGTATATGTTATAGCACAAGACAGTAGGCAAGAAGGTTTCATTCCTCATAGCTATTGTACTCCATTTAATTCTTATCATCATGTTATGGAAATGAAAAAAAAACTTCCACACGAACCAGGTTTCTACTCTTTTATACCTCCTTAAACTTATGATTGGGAAAAAAAAAAAGCGAAATTGATTTTAACGAAAATTTTTTTTTTATAGATTCCGATGGAGAAGAATATGGTCAATTAGGAGGTTGCAACAATAATAATTCGATAAATAACAGTAACAATAATAACAATAGTAACAGTAATGGAAATAATAATAATAATAATAGTAATATTAATAATAACAACAGCAGCAGCGGTGGCAACTGTAACTCTAACAGCAATATAAATAACAACAGCGTTGTATTAAATAACGGGAGCAGTAGTAATATTGTAAATAATAGTAGTAGTAGTAATAATAATAATAATAATAATAACAACAGTAATAATAATAGCAATGGTAATAACAATAATGCGAATGGAAGTAACAGCAATCATGGTAGCAGCAACACACTTAATAAAAATTCGACAATAGTTCAAATGAATTTAACAAGTTCTCAAGCATCCTTACATAGCGCCGGATCATCTTCTCAACCGGAAATTCATCCATTTTGTAAGGTGTGTGTGTGCGTGTGCGCTTACGTTATTTATATTTATTCGACGTTATTAAAGATGTGACGGTCTGTCTTATTATTATAGGATCCCTCGGGTCGTTACATCGTTCTGTACACGTTTATAGCACGTGATGAAAACGATGTATCCGTTGAAAGGGGAGAATTCGTTACTGTACTTAATAGAGAAGATCCCGACTGGTTTTGGATAGTTAGGTCAGATGGTCAAGAAGGATTCGTACCTAGCGGTTTCGTTTATCCCGCTGACGTCATACAAGGTACCCCCCGTTATAATGAAAAATTTTTATTATTATTATTATTTGTTTATAATGGTTCGAACATTGCTTTGTCAGGTCACATAACAGAAAATTCAAATGCGAATAATAATAATAATAATAATAACAATGCCGGTGCAAGCGCCGCTCAAGTCAATTATACAAATGGGAATTACATTGGTCATCAAACAACAACAACAACAACAACGGAAGATTTAAAATATCACGGTACCGAATTGGTTATGCTTTACGATTATAAGGTAAAAATGATGATGATGATAATAATAATAATAGTAGCAGTAGAAAAAAAAAAAAAAAACCGTTTTAACGATGGAAATAAAATTTTTTTTTTTTATGGTTTATTACTGTTGGCAAAGAGTTTAAAAAAAAAAAAAATTTTAATTAAAAAACGTGACGTTATGTTGTGTGACATCACACAACATTTTCAGGCTCAGGCACCAGATGATCTTTCCGTGAGACGAGGCGATTGGATTTATGCTGATATGAACAATCAAACGGTTGACGGATGGTTGTGGGCCTATGCTCCGAAAACTAGAAAATACGGTTTCATACCTAAAGCCTATGCTAGACCTCCAGCGATGACGTCATTATAATAAAACAATGAGAGAGAGAGGAGAGAGAGAGAGAAACATTTGAATTTGCCAAACGTGTTACTTCAGAGTAACAAACTTTCAAGGACTCGTCAAGACTGTTGTATATGTGATTAATCTCCATGTTTCTCATTTACAAAAAAAAAAAAAAAAAAAAAAAAAAAAAGACTTGTGGATTTAAACGTATGAATCATCATCATCATCATCATCGTTTGTTCGTTCGTTCGTTCGTTCGTTCACGTAGACCAAAGTCTAGTTTTTTTTTTTTTTTTTTCCCGATTTGGATTTGCGAAATGTTTTTTTGTTGACAAATTTTATAATACGTGCCTTTTTATATAAAACGATTCGATATATTCGTATCGATCGATTTGTATCATTATTTGTATATACATTGAGAGCGTCATTTTTACATTGACATTTTTTTATACTTTTTTTTTTTTTTTTTTTTCGAATGATTTTATAATAATAAATATATATATATAACGTTTTATCAAAAGAATGATTTTTATTTTTATTTCCAATTCGTTTGCGTTTCTTTTTTGTAATTTAAATTAAAAAATTAAAACGGGGACAAGGTTAGGTTATGAATGAAAAATGGCGGAAAAGGTGATGATGATGAGGTAGTGGGACCGAGAGAGGGCGCTAAAAATTTATTTTTGTCGATATTGCAAAAAAAAAAAAAAAAAAACCGTTGATTGAGCGCATGCTCCGTCGTCGATTGAAATAACGTTTGATTTTGGAGAGAGGCAAGTGAATTACGAGCGTACCTAAATAATAATTTAGAGAGAGAGATAAAGGATAAATCATTTTTTATATATTAAAAATTTAAAAAAAGAATTCGTATTATAGGAAATTAACCTTGGAATAATAAACGCCTGATTTAAAAATTGTTAATTATTGGTAAATTATTCACGTTATTTATTATTAATTTATTATTATTATTATTACATATTTATTTACCGGATAAATATTAATTTAAGGTAGTAAAATCAACCGGTAAATTTTCAATAATGTTTATCGTCATTTTCAAATTGATTTTTTTTTTTATTTTTATCGTAAATATTTATTTAAAATTATTATTATTATTATTATTATTAATAATAAAAAATTTTTTATTGACAAATCGATATCTGAACATTCAAATCGATAAATATTTAACGTATTAATTTTTTTTCTGTTAGTATATTAAGAGACCGGTAGTAAAATATTATTAAACTTTTAATTGTTTTTAATTGTTTTTTTTAAATCAAAAACGTTTTTTTTTTAATATTTAAATTTAATTGTTAAAAGCTGTTGTTGGAAAATTTTGGATTTAATTACTCGATGAAAATAATTAAAAATTCCACATTTTTAATTAGCCTTGAATGTTATCACAAGTGTTTGCTTTTCTTTTTTTTTTTTTTTTTTAGAATTTATCAATAATAATTGAAAAATCATTTTAATAAAAAAAAAAACCCAAAGGAAAGGACTCTAAATATTAGTTGTTTTATTTTTGTCGAACAAGAAGAAGAAGAAGAAAATAATTTTTATTTTTTTTTTAAAAATAAAAATGGCTGTTAATACTTTTTTATTGGATTTCACTGTCAATCCGAATGCATGCGAAACAGTTGAAGATAGATACATGATTAAGGAAAATGTCGAAAGTTGTCTTAAAGAATATATAAAAGATATTAAATGCGATTCATTCAGAGAATTGGATGGAGGATTTTTATCTATTTTTTTCGGAGCCAAAGGAACATTTATCACGGTGAGAGGATTAAAAGAAGGAATTGTTACAATCAATATTGAATATTATAAATCTGAAACGGAAGATGATATGCTTACATTCGAGGTAAACATTTTAATTCTATCAAAATTGTATTTTTAATTCCAATTCGATATTTATTTAAGGTGCATTTTTAATTTAAATTATTTTTTATGTGAATAATGATGATTGTAATTTTTTTTGTCGATTGCACATTTCGAATTCAAACACACTCGCACATCATAAAATTACCCTTTCGAAATTACTCTTCTCATGTTCGATTTTGTGAGTTGTTTTATAATTTTTACATTAGTGTTGACTAATTATATAAAGATAATAATAATAATGGTGAGGAAACAATTGATGTGTCAATGAGGAAAAGGTATTTTTAAATTGTATTGTTACTTATATATATAAAAGTAATAATCGATTTTAAAAATTTGCAAATGTTTATCGCATTTTATATATCAATGAGAAGAACATTCGATATTAAATTTAGCACATGATTCAAATTTGAAAATTATTTTGTACTCATACAATTAATGACTCAGTGTCTTCGAAATAGAATTTGTGAGAATGAAATAGATTGTGCAAATTAAAAAAAAAATTACAATTGTCATGGCATCCATTAAACGATTTGAAAGGGACATTAGTTTGTAGTAAAAGAAAAACTCGATTATTAGTGTGACATTTATTTAATTGTAAATATTGAATAAAAAAGTGTTTTATAAGGTTGTTATCAGGTACAGGAGGTACAGCAGTGTACAAAACATTACATGGTTAATGTAATAAGAAATTGTAATGGAGGGGAACAAAACAAACATAAAATTTAACGGTTATAATTTAACGGTTTCAGCAACTTCGTTTGCTTGAATTATCAATTGGTAAAGCTCTCGCCTCGGCTAGGAGCAAACATCTTCCACCGATAAAAAGAGGAGGAGCAATTGATGTGTATTTAACAACATCAGGTTCGATGCTTTATTATATGACAAAAGCAACAGCAACAGCACGAACATGATGATGCAACATACAAACCATAATTTTTATTTATTTATTTATTTATTTTCTTTTAGCACGTTTTATTTATTATGTACATAATATCGCATGCATTAATAATTTATATTAGCCGTTGCTCTCTCCCTGCCATGTTGATTCTTGCACACCTTGAAATGACAACGTTATTATTATTATTATTATTTTGTTTTAAGTATTTTAGTTTTAGTTTAAATTTATTTTTTAGTTTCTTTAGTTTCTTTTTTTTATTTTTAGAACATTCGTAATTTGGATAGTTTATTGCGTAAAAAGATTAAGATCAAGAATTCACATAGGTACCCAGCCATATCAAGAGGTGGTAAAGTGTGTAAATACTTTTTCTCATCAGGTAATTATCAATGATATTGAAGATGATGGTGGTGGTGGTGGTGGTGATGAAAAGAAAGAAAGAAAATGTTTCTTTTACTATTAATTTGCTTATTATTAGAGCTTAATTGTATTTTTAACCCCCCCCCCCCGCCTACGTTTCCTTATAATTATTTATATTGAATGAGCATGAACGCATTTTTATTTGTCCGCCATATTTGTTTTTGCTCTCTCGCTTTCGTTATGGTGCGCTCGTGTATACATCTATCAATTCGATGGTATAGTTTTTGTTTGTTTTATTGTTTCAGACGAAAGGATTTTGGAATACGACATCGACAAAGTTGTTTTCGAAGAAACATCTCCATATCAAAAAATACAAATCGTACATTCGAAAAGTTTAGGAAATATATTACTATTGGACGATTTGCAAAGTAAGTTTAATTATAATAATAATAATAATAATAATAATAATAATAATAGTAGCGATGAGAATTGTTTATTGATTTATTTACTTTTTTCCATTTTCAGACATGTCGGAAAGCGATTTGATTTACACGGAAACTCTTATGCAAAGAGGAGTTGAAAATTACGAGAATAAAGAAATAATTATTCTCGGCGGAGGAGATGGTTGTTTGCTTTGGGAATTGTTGAAAGAAAATCCAAAATTCATCACAATGTTAGAGGTAGTACAATGATTTGTCGAAAGTGCGACAGATTTAACGTTAATTCCGCCAAATTGTGCCAATGGGAAATTTGTCGCAACTATATCGCATTTTTAAATTTTTTGTTTTCTGCAGTTGGATGAAGTCGTTATAAAAGCTTGCGGCGTTTATTTGAGATCTTCCTGCGGCAACTGTCTCGATAATTACAAAGGAGATAAATACGAAATCATTGTCGGTGATTGTTTCGAAACGTTGGAAAAGTTTATAAAAGAAGGGAAAAAGGTATAAAATGCATTTTGAATGAATTTTCCGGGGATAGGAGAAAATCTAATTATTTATTTCACGTTTAGGTCGATTACGTTTTTGGGGATTTAACGGATGTTCCGGTGGATACGAGCGGTCAAAATGGGGAAATGTGGAATTTCATACGATTGATATTGAATAAATCAATGCAAGTCATTCGTCCCGGTGGAAAATTTTTAACACACGTGAGTCGATACAAATGAATTCCCATACCGGGGAGTCAGTTTTATAGTTTTTAAAATGAATTTTTTTTTTTAAATAGGGAAATGGAGCTTCCGCAGTTAGAAGTTTGCAACTTTATGAAAAAATGTTGCAAAATTTAAAAGTTCCAGTTAAATTTACTACGGCTCATGCTTTCATACCGTCATTTTTAGAAGATTGGGTATTTTATCAAATCACTCCTTGTTTCGGTAACAATCTTTCAACCTAATATAATATTTTAAAATTTGATATCCAAATTTATTATTATTATTATTATTATTATTATTATTATTGTTCTTTTTGCCAATTTGCTATTAATAAAGTTTTATATGAAAATAAAAGCAAAAATGAAAAAGTTGAAAAGTTTTTAATTTAATTTTTTTTATATTTCCTTTTTTTTTTTTAAAAAAATATAATTATTAACGTTGTTATTTACTGTAATGTGAGTAATTAAAAAAAAATGGTTTCTTTTATATTATTATTATTATTTATAATTTTTTTTAAAATGATGAAACGTATAAATGTAAGAGGATTGGGGTTTTTTGTAATAAGTAACAAAAAAAATTAGTAATGGCGATGATTTTATATTCATTTTTAAAAGTATTTAATTAAAAACTTTATTTAAAAATGTGGTATTAAATATAATCTGCAAAAAAAAGAAAAAAAAAAACAAATAAAAGATGAAGTAAACTTCAGATAACGAAAATAATACCATAGAGTAAATGACGAAACGCGAAAGTGAAATCGGTGGTGCCAACTTATAATATGTTTATTTTGTCAGTGTTTGCAACCCTAACATATACCTTTTAGCTTCATGTGTTTCTCTTAATTATGGTGAGTGTTTTTATTTGTTTTAATCTCGGCAATCCTTCTAAATAATTAACGTAAAAATATTTTCCCTTATTTAAAAACAATTTTAATTGAATTTGTTTTTTCCCTTTCGTTAAAATTATTATTTCTTTTTAATGATTATCAGCCATTACTGTTTGTCTTTACCTAACCTCAATTTTCTCCTTCTGTTTGGTAAATGTCATCAATTAATTAATCATTTTTCCATTTGTTTAGTTAAAATTAAAAAAAAAAAAAAAAAAATCATTTATGTCATTTAAAATATTTTCTGACATTATAATTAATTTTAAAATTAACGTTTGAATATTTGAATGTTGTTTATGACGTGTGAGGGTTGATTTTATAGGCTCGAGGACCCAAGAAGCATTTGAAGCGGCTCAATGCCCCGAGAGCATGGATGTTGGATAAATTGGGGGGTGTTTACGCTCCCCGGCCGTCTGCCGGTCCTCACAAATTACGAGAATCACTTCCATTAGTTATATTTTTAAGAAATCGTTTAAAATATGCTTTGACGAATTGTGAAGTTAAAAAAATTGTTATGCAAAGATTAATTAAAGTCGATGGGAAAATTCGTACGGATCCAAATTACCCGGCTGGGTTTATGGGTAAATCTTATTTTATTTATGTATATCTTAATGTAATCTGCGAACGTCACACGTTATGCATTTATTTATTTTTATTTATTTATTCCAGACGTTATTTCCATCGAAAAGATAAATGAACTTTTTCGCCTTATTTACGATGTTAAGGGAAGATTCACCATTCATAGAATCACCCCCGATGAAGCTACAGTAAGTGTTTGTTTAATTCTAAACAATTTATATACCTGTCTTGTTAATTATCATCAGGTTTAGGGTTGCTTTCAATTATGAATTTTGAAGAAGTGAAGTAATCGAGGAATGTTAAATTCATTTTAATGATATCGAGAGTCATAAGAGAGCATCACTTTTTTTTTTGTTTCATTTACATTAAATATTGATTTATAGTCTCAATATTTGTGTTAAAAGAAAGAAGAAAGCAATTATTATTATCATAGAGTAGCTTTAATGATGACAGTCAAAGGTTTAAAAGGCACAAATAATGATAATTAGTGATAAATCGATAAAACCTTACTCATCTGATGGAGTTAATCTTGGCATTTTACTTAGTTTAATAACAATCATTTATTATTATTATTATTTAAACAAATGATTTTTTATGATTGATGTTGATGAATATTTTTATAAAATCTGTCTTTTTGCAGTACAAGTTGTGTAAAGTAAAAAAAGTCCAAACTGGGCCCAAAGGAGTACCATTTTTGGTAACTCACGATGGAAGAACCATTAGATATCCAGATCCTTTAATTAAAGTTAATGATACGATTCAATTGGAAATTGCAACATCTAAAATTTTGGATTTTATCAAGTTTGAATCTGGTGAGTGAGAAAAACATTAAAAAAAAAAAAAAAAAAAAGAATTTGTTTGTGATGACGATAATTGAGTTAAAAGTTAAGGAGGAGGAGAAGGAGGAAGAAGAAGTATGGTTCAATGTATGTTTTTGTTTTGTTCCAGGCAATTTATGCATGATCACTGGGGGTCGTAACTTGGGACGTGTAGGCACAGTGGTCAACAGAGAAAGACATCCTGGTTCGTTTGATATTGTTCACATCAAAGACACTCAAGGTCATACCTTTGCCACAAGGTGAGTGAATCTCGTTCTTCGTCGATTGGAAAATGGAAAAATATGGATAAGAGTCAGTAGATTGATTGATTGATTGTGTTATTTCCAGATTGAACAACGTTTTCATCATCGGAAAAGGATCAAAGGCATACGTTTCATTACCCCGTGGTAAAGGTGTTAAATTATCCGTGGCGGAAGAAAGAGACAAAAGGTTGGCGGCAAAAGCAGCTTCCGGCTAATTTAAACTCGATACGATTTTATAATAAATTGAAGTTAAATAAAAAAAACATAAAAAAAGTGTAAGAAATAATCAATCAATCATTCATTCATTCACTGTTTATCCGACATTTTTTTTTTTTATTATTTATTTTTAACGCGAAGATTTTTCCGATTTCTTCCACCCACCTCTCAGATTCGTCCCATCCGGTTTTCTTTTTCCCCCCCTCCTCTCCCCCCTTCCCAGCATCCTTCCTTCTCTCCTCCCCCCCCCCCCCCCGTAAACATTGTCTCTAGATGTCTCTTATGTAATTAATCAAAATAGTTTTTTTCTTTTTTTATTTATCGGTGAGAAAAGAAAGAAAGATAGAGAGAGAGAGAGAGATAGAAGATGATACGCGTACGAGAGATGAATTTGTATATCGAACGCTTGCGCTTTTCACACGTTCATCGCTCCCCACTTTTAACGACGACCGTCTCTTCTAGAACAAAAGAGAGAAAAGAAAAGAGAGAGAGAGAGAGAAAAAGTTGATTTCGGTCTTGCGCCCTTTTAATTTTCCCCAACGAAATTTTCATCGATTCGAAATGATATCGATTTGTTAAATGTATGGTGGAAAATTACAAAATGTTATTTATCGAATGGAAAGAAACGTGAAAAATACGTCGTATAAGGTTATAAATATTAATAATATTAATAATAATAATAATAATAATAATAGTAGTAGTAAAATGTTGTAAGGCTCGTATCGAAATATCCTTTCGCGGGTATTTAATTTAATTTAAATTTAAATTAATTTAATATAAAAAATTTAAGTGGTATGCGTTTGATATTATCGTCATCATTATACGGATTAAAGTGTTTTAATAATAATAAAATAATAATAATAATAATAAATAAAAAATGTCGTCGATAGTTTTGAAAAGTTTATCAATATTATTGGGTTTGTTTTTTATTTTTGTTGGAACGATGAAAGTCACATCAGTGATAAGTAAAGATTTACATAAGGATTTGGTAAGTAAGAAAATTATTTTTTTTTTGGGGGGGGGGGGCAGATGGGGGGGTGGGGAGTATTTAAAGAAAAAATTTTTCCCCATATGATAATTTTTTTATACAAAAGCTATTATTAATTTTTTTTTTTTTTTTCATTTAATTTATTTATTTATAAATAATTCTATTATTAAAATAAAAAATAAAAAAAACTTTTGCGATCTTTAAAAATAAACACACTCCCGCTGGGAATTTAAACGTATATATATATATAAATAATTTTTTTTATTTTTATTTAAATTATTTAATTAATTAATTAATTTATTTTATTTAAATATCGATTTTTATTAATTAATTATTTGATTGTTTTTAATTATTTTTCAACTCATTTAATAACGGCTCGGAGGGGGGAAGGAGGGAAAGAATTTTTTTTTTTTTTTTTTTTTTTTAACTACATAAAGGTATTTACTTAATAAATTTTTATTTATTTATTAAAATGTATGTTTGTGCGCGTGAATCATATGCGTATGTGTATGCACGCGTTTAAAATAACGCGGGTTCGTTCGTTTTCTCACGCCTTACGTGTAATCATATGTGCAATTGTATTTACTTACGTGTAGTGAAAAAAGTATAACCTGTAATTGTAAGGAGACAATAACATTAACGTAAAGAAATTTTTTAGTTTTTTTTTTTTATTTATTTATTTAAATTTATTTTTATTGTAAAAAAAATAACAAAAAAAAATTTTATTCTTTTCTTTTCTTTTCTGTTCTGCTTTTTTTTGGCTCGCATCATCATCGTTTAAATTTAAATTAAAAAAAAAACACGAATTTTTCACGCACAGACACGCAGACATTAATTAATTAATTAATTATTTTATATGTAATTTATTTATTACGACTGATGGCAAAGTTAAAATGGATAAGGAAAAATTCAATTCGAAAATTTTTTATATATTTAAAACGTTATAAATAATTTTTTAAAAATTGATATTATTAGGAAACGAACGACGTTATTATTATTATTAATGGGAAAAACTTGAAATGTTTTCAACGGGAAATAAACAAACGATTTTTTAAATTTTAATGCCAATGTAAATATTTATTATTTAGGTTTTAAATCAAAAACCGTTTTTTTATTTGATTCGTATAACGGAAAAATAAATTTCACATTTAAATGTGATTAAAAAGTTATTTCCACTCGTAATAAATAGGTAGTCTACCTTCATATTACCCGTCGACCGGAAATGACGACACACCTCACAAAAAGTCTTTTAAAAACGACAAACTTTAATTATTTGTAATTTTATTTTTTGATGACGTCATCATTTTTTTTTTTTTTTTACAGAGGAAAGAATACGTTAAATATGCCAAAGTGTTTCCGTTATCCGAAGCATTGGATATAAAAATCCCGCCAAAATGGTACAGGAGAATCGTCGGTTCGATGGAAATCATTTGCGGTTTGGCTTTGTCTCTCGTACCGAGCAGTAAGTTAATCATCATTATTATTTTCTTACACCCCCCCCCCTCACTTCCCTTCCTCCATTATTATTTTCTTCAATTCAAAATATTCTATTTTTTGTTTACAGATAAAGTTAAATATGGCGCAAACGTCATTTTATTATTTTTAATGTTAATGGCCGTTTATTCGCATTACATGGTCAATGATAAATTTGAAAGAATCGCACCGGCTCTGGTAACGTATGATATATATTAAGTCATAGAGTAAATAAAACGCGAGTTTTTCTTTTGACACTTTTTACCCCTTCCACCCCGTGATCGATTGTTTTGTTTTGTTGTGACGTCACACGTCACACACATAACGATTCGGGAACGCGACATTTTGAATTATGTTCATTACGGTTATTTTTTTAAAAAATCTCGAACTTTCTCGCGGAATCTCGCGAATTATTAACGTGAAGTTTAAATTTGTTTTTTTTTTTTTTTTATTTAAATCGTGAAAGATAAAAAAGAAAACGATCAAAAAATTTTTATTTATACTTATAGAAAAATAATTAATTTTAAATTAACGGTTTTTTTTTTTTTTCATTACGCAAAGAGAGAAATGAAATTTTAAGTAAACAAAAACAAAGATGGCGTCGAGTAAAAGATTTCGAATTAATAATCGTTTGTTTGTTTGTTTGTTTTTTTGGTTGCAGGTTTTCTTTTTTATGCTCACCGGAAGATTAGTAATTGATTATCAATTGAAAAGAAAATCGGAAGCGGCGGCAGCTGCAGCATTAAATGCGACTTCCGGAAATGGTGAAATTCGTAACGATGAAAAAATAAGAAAAACCGAATAATACTAATAATAATAATAATTCGTATTTTTTTCTTTTTCTTCTTCTTCTTTCTAATCTTTTAATATTTATAATAAAATTAATCGGAAAAAAAAAAAATTCGTTTTTTTTTTCTTTTTAATTTTTTAATTTCCGGTTTTGAAATTCAAAAAAAAAAAAAAACGATTTTTTTTTTTTTTTTATTTAACGCATCGTTAACGACGAGTAAAAAATTAAACAATACGAAATCAATAATCAATCGAAAAACAAACAAACAAACAAACGAACGAACAAACAAACAAGCAGCAAAAAAAATAAAAAATCGGGTAATCAAATTTTTTTTTTTTTTTTGGGGGGGGGGGGGAAATATTTTGTAAAAACGATTTTACAAAACAAAAATTTTTTTTTAAATTTTCGAGATTATCGATTAATCGATCGATGTATCGAAAATCAAAAAATTTATCGAGAAATCGATTCGCAAAACTAAAAAAAAAAATTAAGATCAAGATCAAAAAAAAAAAAAATTTTTTTAACATCGAGTAAATATCATCGACCTATCGATACTTTCGATAATCTCGTTAATCTCGAATTACATTTATATTAACCTTATGGAAAAATAACGGTAATATTGAACACAAATCATTCGTTAATTTATAAAATTTACAGTTTTTCATATTGGAAAATGTAAAAGGATCAATTCCATTCCAGAGATTTTCATAGAGTAATAAACATGTGTGAAGAGAGAGTGTAAGCAACAACAACAACACGAGTAAGTAAATTTTTTTTTCTTTTTGTTTTCGTCACATAATTATATACGAGATTAGGAAAAAAAAATGAAACAAACAACAACCGATGGTAATGAATAATAACAGACGGTTGGTTATGCCATAGGATAAGTCAAAAGGTGAACGAACGAGAGAAAAAAAATAATAATAAAATTATTATTATTATTATTATCGTTTTCGAATCGTTTGTTGTTCAACGAATAACGTGTTGAAAAACAACAACAACAACAACAACAACCATCTTAAATTAATTCGCATTAACGAGGTCACCGTTAATGTGAAACAAAAAAAAAAAAAAAACTTTCAGGTTTTTTTTTTAAATCAACTTTTTTTTTTTTTTTAAACCATTGACAAGTTCATTATCATTAATTGCACAATTTTTTTTTAAATTTAAAATTTTTTTACTAATTAATTAATTAAATAAAAATGAAGGGAATCCATTTAGAGAGAGAGAGAGAGAGAGAGAAACTTACGAAATTTTTTTTTTTTTAAACAACCTTGTGCTCATCGTTTGCGTCGTTCTTCAACGTTCGAATTCGTTAAAATTTAAAACAAACGGAATCATCGATTTGCGATACGTCATAGAGTAAATAAATTCAAAATTTAAAGGGAGGTAGAGAGGGTTCATCGGAAATTGATTTCAAAATTATTACATTATATCGATATTAAATCGATTAAGAGAAATTTTTTTATTTTATTTTCGCGTGTTTATTTTCTCTATGAAATTTATTTTCTCTATGGATAACCAAAAAAAAAAAAAAAATTAAAAATAAATTATTTAAAATGATAATGCGAATCTTTTAATGAAAAAAATTTTTTTCTTGTGAAATGATAATAATAATGGTAATGATAATAATAATAATAATAGTAATAATAATAATGATAATAATAATAATGATAATAATGATAATAATAATAGTAATAATAAATCATTAATTTACCGATAAATTATTTCGATGAAAGCCTCCTAATTTTAACGCGAGTAAATTCATTAAACAAAATAAATATTAATTTTAATAATAATAATAATAATAATAATAATAACGATGATGATGATGATGATAATAATAAGAAATCGTTTCGTTTCGTTTCGTTATTATATTTAAAAATAATGATAATAATAATGCGTTCGAATGAAAATTTTTAATTCACTCACACACACACACACGCACGCATTTAGTCGTAACGGATTGAAAATAATGATAATAATAGTAATAATAATAATAATTGGTTTTGAAATAAATTTTTTTTGCAAGCAATAAATAAGACAAATAATAATTAAAACGGCAGACAAACAAACAACAAACAAGTAAGAGTCGTAAATCTCGTTTGATTTTTTTTAATCGAAACATTTTTATTTTATTGACTTTCTCTCGTGGAATTTTTTTTATTTATTTATTCGTTTCGTACGAAAAAAAAAAAAAAATGGCGACGGCGAGAAAATTTAAAAAAAAATTAATTCCCGTACAATCTCACATGCCGATTTTGTTGAACTTAAAACTTTGACATTATTATTATTATCATTATCATAATGGTTAGATTTACGTGTTGATTTTTAAATGAATGATGTAAGAAACATTTATTATAATATTACACTACTAAGTAATAATTGACTCATACGAAAAATTGCGCGGGAAATTCAAACCGGATCTGAAAATTCCATTTGAAAATTCTACTGCTTTTTTTTTAAAAATAAAAATAACAAACGATTATAGATGACAAATGTCTCTCGCTCGTACCACGTGAATCAATAAAAAAAAATTTTTTTAAATCATCTCTTGAGATAAAATGCAAACAAACAAGCAAACAAACAAACAAACAAACGTTTCTTTCAGGCACGTGTTTAGAAGAAGAGATTGGTTGACACGCGCGTTTCGATTTCACCCATTCGTCATCTTAAACTTCCTGTTGTTGGAGAATTAAAACGGAAGTTGGTTGATGATCCTTTAGGATGCTGCATTTTATCCTAATATTTCTAATCGTGAGTAGTGATGATAATAATAATGAGGACAACAAGAGAGTCGCAATACTCATTCTTTACTACCCGGTTGATATATCCGCCATTTTTGTTTTGTGAGGATTCATCAGGAAATTCATTTTACCGAAAGTTGTTATTTAAATTACGAGAAAATAAGCAGAAGAAAATTTGTTTTTTTGTTTTCTTTAATATTCATACTCTCGTGAGTTTAGAAAAAGATTTTCGTCTACTCCTTCCACGTCGTTTCTAAATCTTTTTTTTAAAAAAAAAAAAAAATTGATTTATCGAAAAGTTTCTGCCACGTTAAAAACCTTCAACGAATTCCATTTCCCATCCCGTGCCAGCCTCCCAGATAATTTTTGTTTGAGGCAATTTTTTTGTTTTGAATTTTTCCCATAGTAAAAAAAGTGCGTGAGTTAAATGAGTAAGGTCAAAAGGTCATTCGTAGTTTAAAAACCTTTTATATTTAATATGAATGGAAACTAAATGACTTGACGATGATGAACTCGAGATATAAAGAATCGCACGCAAAAATTTTTTTTTTTTTTTTTTTCTCATTACGAATTAACACGCATGCACGCACACACACACACACACACACTCATCGTCGCCATTTTAATTTCTCGGTTGGTTTTTCCATCGAATACAACCAAATGGGAAACTCGTTAAAAATTATTAAAAAAAAATAATAATAATAAAACCTCCCTTTACGCCGTGTGAGAGAGAGAGAGAGAGATCGATAGAGAGGTAAAGAGAGAGAGAGAGAGAGAGAGATCGGTATAGAGAGGTAGAGAGAGAGAGAGAGAGAGAAGGAGAGAGATCGGTAAAGAGAGGTAGAGAGGTAGAGAGAGAGAGAGAGAGAGAAGGAGAGAGATCGGTAAAGAGAGGTAGAGAGGTAGAGAGAGAGAGAGAGAGAAGGAGAGAGAGAGAGAGAGAAGGAGAGAGATCGGTAAAGAGAGGTAGAGAGGTAGAGAGAGAGAGAGAGAGAGAGAAGGAGAGAGATCGGTAAAGAGAGGTAGAGAGGTAGAGAGAGAGAGAGAGAGAGAGAGAGAGAGAAAATTTTTTACACAAACGCGTTATGTATTTAATAACCAAATCAGACGGCCCGATAAATTTCTCTAGTCGACCTTGTTCTAGAAAGAAAAATTTTTTTTTTTTTTTTCTAGAAGATTCCATTAATGGATGGAATTGTATGTGTGTGTGTGTGTGTGTGTATTATTTCGCTACCGGTCATTCGTATTATAAAAAAAATCCCAGGTAAAAAACCTTTGAAAAAAAAAAAAATTCCACTCAACGATTTATTTAACGTAAATGATATTGAAACCCCCTTCACCGAAATAATAATAATAATTTTTAACCATTTTTTTTTTTTAAACTCGTTCTTCCAATTAAAATCTAACGGATTTTTTTTTAAACCTTCGAAGCCGTTCGATTTATTATCATTATCATATAAAATAATCCCCTTTAATAATAATAATAATAATCTTACTTAATTAATTAATTAAATTTTTTTTAAAACTCTTCTTATGCTTAAAATTTCATAACCTATTTTTTGTTTTTTTTTTATACTCTTTGTAACGATCATAATGATAATAATAATAATAATAATAATTACGAAATTAATTTTGATGAGATTTAATGTGAAAAGAAAAAAATTTTTTTTTGAAAGATGCCGAAAATGTCGGCAAAACAAAATGTCGGCGTGATACATTTTTTTTTTTTTTTAAATAAATTAAATAATAATTAATTAGAAAGTTAATCTTGCTAATTATTATTATTATTATCCACCATTAAACACGACAAGGCTACTTGTCGGAGTTTTTAAGTATTTATCCGAGGTTTCTACCCGATTCCTTAGGGACAAATACTCGAATTTCGGTGGTGCCACTTATTATAAGATAGCACCACATCAATTCTTGAAGGTCTTCCTGAGTCCGTCTTTTTCGATGGGAACGATTTGTCTCCTGAACTGGGCTCCAGTGACTAACATCTTTGGAGTGGCCAGGGTCAGAAGCAGTGAAATTCACGTTCTCGTCGAGCTGCCTCAGGTCGACAGTAGAACAAGATTTTTTGTTTTTGGTTCTTACTTTGTCTTGTTCTCATTTTTTTTTTGCTCTTTTAAGCCAACAGCACGTGGCGTTCTCAAACGGTCACCCATCCAAGTTTGCACCACGCCCGATGCTGCTTAACTTCGGTGATCGTACGGGAACCGGTGTGACCAGCACGCTATGGCCGTTGGCTTTTATTATTATTATTATTAT